GTGTCTAGAGCTTTATAGATAACAACTTCCCATAGTGTTTCACCCATTTCTCCAACTGTTCATTGCATTTGGCGATTCCCTCTGTTTTCATGCATCTGTTGTGTTTTTGATCCCCTCACACGTGCACCTGACTTCCCCTGTGTTAAAGAACATCTGGATGTTCTGGCAGAGTTATAACCAGCAGCCATAAAGCCTTGATACCTGTCATCTGCAGGATTTCTTTATTTTTAAAGAAATTTGTTTCAGAAACAAATGTTTCTCTTTGCATTTCATGCAAATGGAAGGAGTTCTCCCTTAGCTCTGAGCAAGATCGAGAGACTGCTTAATATGTGCTATATAACATAGTTTAACTAAGCATTGCAGATATGCATAGTTTCTGTTTGGTAATTGCATGTTAAACTTCCCACTGCTAGTTGGTGAAAAAGGAGACCAGAATCAATCGTTACTCCGTTTCAGATTTATTCATAATGTGAAACATTACAAATCTACTGCTCTCAACTTTACATCTCACTACTGGTGTCCCTAATTATTTCTTAAGTTTTTTTTGGCCCATTTGGCTCTGTTATGAGTCACTTCCATAAGCCATTATTTCCTTAGATGAGACTTGAGCCCATTCCTTCTGGGCCAGATATAGGCACATTACCGTTGCACCACATGGTCCTCTACTTGTACTGTACTATTTTAAAACATCCCTTATTTAAAAAAAAAAGTGGAAACAGCTCCTAAAGGGCCCTACAACAAAAAAAAACATTCAAAGGAAACTTGGTAATTGTAAAACATTGTTTTGGGTGATGATGATGCATTTCATCCCCTGTAGCGCCCACTGATCATGGAAGACCAGTTTCCTTGTAGACAGCATACAGTATCCGAGAGTATCCTTCAGGTCTTCCATGATCAGTGCGCACTATATTGGATGTCACTTGTCAGAGTCAGCATGAGAGTTTTTAATTATTTAGAAAGTACGGTTGCAATTTAGAAATAAAATGGAAAGCAGTTATTTTTAGAGAATATCGATGATCTCTTCTCAACATAATTCCAGAAAACAGGAAGCCCTTGGATCCTTTAGAAAACCAGGTGTGCTGCAGGGTTCACGGCATTAGGACATGCCGATCCACAGAATTAGAATTGCTAAATTGGAGGGGTACGACCTGTACTTCATTTGAAGTATTTAGGTTGTATTGTCAATGATCAGAAGTGTGTGGCACTCCTATTGCTAACCAGAAAGCATTCTGTTCCCATGACATCAAGAAGGTAATCAATTTCAAATATTCCAATGACCTGGATAACACTTAGAAGTAGTTTTCGGTACTCACAAAAATAACCAGAGTTGATAAATTTTGGATCAGCAATCTTAAAACGAGTATCTCAAATTGACTGCAAGGTGTTAAGTGGTATAGACCTTAGACTACCTGTGGACAATGCCTTAGAGCACTTTCTCGAAGATAATTGTCGATGTTTATTTTAAGTAGCAGCCAGAATAAAAAGGAATTGTTTACCTAGCATAAGATTATTCTATAAGCAGCAATTGTGACTTTAAATTACTGGTTGGATGTTGTGAAGATCTGTATGAGACAGCCCTCTCTTGGAAGCAGGTATGATAGGTCATGTTTATCATTCATTATTGGGGTTAAAAATCTATCCAGTAGCTTTAGCTGATGCATTGTACGTGGTTGTGTTGTCACTAGGAATGTAATTCTTGGCAAAAGTGTGTCATTTTCTTTATTCATTCAAAAGGTATGTGTATTGCTGCTTAGGCCTCAAAAGTGGTGGTGATCCATTTTCATGACCTTTTGAAGTGGTGTAACTGCTCGTAGTAATTGGAAGGAAGTCCCAGGATTTTGAACCAGTGACAGTGGAGAAACAGTAATATGGTTCTAGGTCAGAATGGTGCGTGCCTTGAAGGGAAACTTGCAGGTTATGGTGTCCGTCTAAATCTATTGCCCTTGCTCTTCTAGGTGTTGGAGATCACAAGCTTTGGGAGCTGCTGTCAAAGCAGCCTTGGTGAGTTACCGTTGAACATCTTGAACATGATACACAGACACTGCTGCTGCTGTGTTGGTGATGAAGGGAGTGAATATGTAAGGTGTTGGATGTGGATGACTACAGGTTGAATGCTCTCTGATCTATTCTAAATTGATTGAATATTGTCTAGATTTTTTTGTGAAAAGTTGAATCCTGGGATTTCATTCTCTGGTCATTTACCAGGTTGCAGTTGGTGGTGTTTGCAGTCAACCTGAAGGTGCAGCATAAGAAGGTGGGGGTTGTCATTAATTAAAGATAATGGATGTGGTCTGTGGGGGTTTTGAAATTTCAGATAGGTGCTTGGGCTATATTTAATGAAGTCTTGAGTCGGTGCAAGTGCTTTGTTAGCTTTCAGCTAACTCCTTGGAGGATGTTTCCCTGCAGGCATTCAGGAGGTTTGGTGCATATTGGCATAGAAAGCTTTGTTGATTTCGCAATTCCAGAAATGATCCTTGTGACTCTTTGGAGGTGGATATTTACCACAATTATGTAGTGTTCTGTGAATGATCAACCGTCTGTTAACCCAAGTTTTTCTTAAACTGGAAAACCCTGAAAATTAATGGTGGCTAAACCCAGACTTCCAGGCTCCTGGCCTAAGCAGTAAGTGATGTGTGAAAAGTTAAATAGTTTCATGAGCTTTCACCAGCTTTTGTTGAGCATTTGCCCAATAGAAATACAATTCATTTAAATAAAAACTGAAAGAACGGCAGATTCTGTAAATGAGGAACGAAAACAGAAGTTGCTAGAAAGGCTCAGCAGATCTGGCAGCACCTGTGAAGAAAAATCAGAGTTAACATTTCGGTTCCATTCTGAGGAAGGGTCACCAAACCCAAAATGTTAACTCTGATTTTTCTTCACAGATGCTGCTAGATCTGCTGAGCTTTTCCAGCAGCTTGTGTTTTTGTTCCATAGTTCATTTAAAGTTGGATTTTGACTAATTTTACAAGAAAAATCAAGATTAGATTTGAATTAGAAGAAGGCACCGTTAATAAAATAGTGTGCTTCTAAGTTTTTTGCTCTTTCAAGAAGCACAAATGTTTGTCCAAAGTTTACATGCTTGTATGTTAATATTCAGGATATAGTTATGAAAGATTTACTACCAAGATAATTTCATTGCTATAAGACATCAATAGCTGTACAATCCAACAGCGATCTCTAGTTTCATAACTGTAGGAAGGAAACTACCGTTTGTGGATATGATGGTGTGGACATTTCCTATTTTACTTGATGAGAAACTTGATCCTTTTTAATGTGTTGACGTCATTAAAATAATGGTCTATCAAATGTACGTAATAAACTCAGTGTAAAACTTATTAATGTATCCCCAGCATTGCTTTATCGTTTTTCCTTCGTGGGTCTGCGATGATTAGATGTGAACTTTGATTTGAAAATGTTAGAATATTTACTTGGGAGTCACATAAAAACTTGTCTCGAGCAGGCAACTCGCTGATGAGTGTTCTATTGTTCTAAACTGCCCTCTGCTGTAAGGCAGTTTTTCTTCACACAGTTCAACATGTTTGCATTTGTGCATTAACTGAATAAAATGCATGTGGAATGGGTTACTTGCTGCACTTTAGAGCCTGTGAAAATTTGCCTATAATCACATTCGTTGAGCTTTATTCTTCTCTGATCTATTAAGATTTAGAGAAAACAACGTTGTGTCTGTATGGATTCAAATAGGTTGTTTCTTCAAAACATTAGATTTGTTTATAAATGTGAGACTGATAATCAGGACATTAAAATTAGGGCACTTTGCATCTTAAATCAGAGGTACAACGTGCACCTCTATATTAGAAGACCATGGAGTCAAACTGCTCACCTAACACTTCAGTAAAATACTGAGAGAGTGCTGTGAGAAGTACTGTCTTTTGAGACATCCAGTTGACACTCCATTTAGTCTCTCAGATGGATATAAAACATCCCATGGCACTTGAAGAGCAGAAGAGTTCTCCTGATGGCCTGGCTAACATTTACCCTCATCCTTGAATTAAATTATATGGTCCTTTGTCAAATGACTATTTATTGCAGTGTGTAAATTAGCTGCAGCAATGACTGCTGATGCCTTGAAATATCCTGAGGAAAGACATTTCCAGCTCCAGAATAGTGTATTAACATCTCAGAACAGATTGATTAGAAAATATCTGTAAAAACAAACAAACTCCTTTTCCTTATATATGCTCTTTTTATGAAGACCTGGATGTAATCAAACAGGCAAGTTGTTTCAGGTTTTTGAAGGAGTGGCACATACAAATAAATGTTGAAAGTAAATGTAGTCTCTTTCTTTTGGGCCCTTTTTGTTACTTCAGGCTGTTCCAAAGCATTTTATACGCAATAATGTTCCTTTTTAAGCAATAGTCATCCTTATCTTCCTTATATTATAACAATCAATTTGCACCCAAACAGCTGCCATAAATAGTAATTGCAAGGTCACCTGTTTTAACAATATTGATTGAGGTATAATTCAGACAAAGTGTGAATATAAGCATCCCTGCTGTTCTCAAAAATAATGCTTAGAATCCTGTACATCTACCCAAAAGGGTAGAGGAGATACCTTCTAATGGTTGGGGCATTAAAAAGAGATCTCCCATAAGGCAGGAGTGGAGTAAAACTCTGTCTACGTTTTGTACTGCAGCCCCTAAAGTAGAATATTATTTACTTTGATAGAATTCTAATCACATCTTGGCAGGTATGAGGGAAAGTATACTGGAATGATTCTGAAAAGACATTAATAGTAACTAGTAACTATCACTGCAATCTGTATAACAGACATACAGCAATAATATTGCTAAAGGAAATGCACTGTTTCGCTCAAAATGAAGATGAAAAACAACCTAAGCGTTATAACTTTCCAACCAGACCAAAACAAACACTTCTAACAATTTTTAAAAGCTTACTGTAGTTACCTATTCTTCTCACTAAAACATAAAATTAGTCAGAAAGGTAAATGTAGACATTAATATATATTTTTCCCCTAACAGAAATTGAACAGTGCAAAGGATTGTTGCAGTGACTCCTCCGCCTGATTCTGCCCAAAATTTTAAGAAGTACTGGATAAAGGCCAACACAATGAGTTCCCTTCATGCAGCAATAAAGACTGAAAGTAGAGATGATGAGAGTGAAGTGCATGCTGAGTTGTGGCGAGATGAACCTAAAGATCACAAGATGAACAGTAACGTCCGTGAGGTAGCGGAGATCTGTGTTGTGATTGGTGAGGATGGGGCTCAACGGTGTTCTGAACAGGATCAACCCAATAATCAATCCAGTGGTAAATATTAACATTTCAAGTCTACCTGTATATTTCTTATTTTAAACTAAAATATATATTTTATTCACTTCCAAAACACTAATTGGATCAAATTGCCTTTTTATACAGTAGGTTTTATGGAATTCCATACTAAACCTACTTCCTATTATATCTTATAATTGAAGACCCATTGCAGCAATTTCAATGGAAAACTCAATGTAAATAGTTGATAATAGGAAAATCAATATAAGTACTTTGCAATCAATAATTTACCTAATTACTTAATTTCAAATTTTACAATGACATTAGTACAAGAGTAGGGAAAAGAGGTAGGAGATGGTGCAAATTCGTAATTCTCACTTGGAGACCTGGTGCAGACATATCTGGCCAATTGACCACCTTCTGTGCTGATTCTGTGATTAAACTTCGCCATTATTCTTTGCCTTTTAATACCTTTAATTAAAGTTTTTAGTTGGAAGTGTCAGCTTCTTCCCAAATGGATATGGTCTGAAGTTTTTTTTTTCTCTCTCCCAAGCAAGCTGGTTATATGACTGGAAGAACCCCTCGAACTCTGGTCAAATGTATTGTGAAAAATGCTCAGGCATCAGTAGCATTTAAGTTGAATTATATGTATAATGGAATGCATCTCTTTTAGCCTCTTACAAAGTCTGTTAAATTGTTTGCCAAATCTGGGGAAGAAATTTTGGAATATAGATTTCAAAAGCTGCATGTCTGTCTCCATTATATACCTATTGTACGTAATTTAAAGTAAGACCCATGGTTCAGCAGGTATATCTCCATAAGCTGGAGCAGGTTTTCGTTTGCATTTTAACGGATGAAAGACTGCTGTGTGACAGAGGGAGTGAATTGGATAGAGACGCAGTGTCTTTCCTAATCTGAAGTCATTTTTATTTGCAAACAGTTAAATCAGTTGAACTTTGAAAATGGGAGTTAAATAAAATTATGTATGTTAGTGACCCTGATGTTACAGTATAAGTTACCTCTGTATTGTAATATGATATATCTGCCAGCTCACTTTAAGGAATACAATAATATCTGCTGCACTAAATAGAAGAGTTAGTTGGTACAGGTTTCATTATGCACAGTATGGCTATCACTGACCACAGTTGGGTATATTTATTAGTTTATTTGGAAGCCTCTTGGACAGAAAGGTTCTACACATTCTTTCCATTATTTTTCTTTCAAATAATGTCATACTCAAGGTACTTCTAATCTATTCGTTGTAAGTGTTTTTAATTTTTACATAGTGAGAACATTTAAACATCAAAGCATCAGTTATTTTTCATACATTGAAAATTGCATTTTTTATAGTATTTGTACTATTCTGTTTCTCTTCCTACAACAAGGAAGAGAAGATGGAGTTCTTTTTTTTTCAAAAACCTCTATTTAGAGAGGTGATGCAGTGGTTTGGCTTGCAGAGTGACTGACATGATCAGGGAATTTTAAAAATTGTGTTAGCTGAGGTCAGATTGAAGTTTTACCTCTTCTTTTGCTTCATCCAAAGCATATTCCACCAGGCAATGTAACTCTCTCATTTATTTTTAATCAGCCTGCTCATATATGTTATGGCAGGCATGACTTGAGCCTCAAAATTCTAGACCAAAGGTAGGGATATGAACATTTGAGCAAGAGTCCTAAATTATCAACAAGGATGGGATTTGAACCAATGCCTGCAGGGCATAATGGATTAACCTCTTTGCCATCTCAGATTTAGCTCCCAAGTGGAGATCTAAGAAGAGCCCGTGTACACATCAGTCTCTTGATCTCTACATTTGCTTGGTCCAGGGCCTTCCTCTGTTGTGCAGAGTAAGTCAACTGACTGGCTTGCACCCTCTGGATAACGAAAGAGTTGTTGCTTTTAGAAAAGTTAATTTGCCTTTTTTTGTTGCCATATAACAGTGCCTGCCCCACGTGCATCCTTTGAAATATGGGTGTTGGGTACAAGGCATAATGCCAACTTCTGGGGCACTGCAGCATTTTATTGTCTATCCTGAAATATCTTAAATGGATGGATGGATGATACCGATAAGAACCAAAGTTGGACTGGACCAAGCGTCAGCATTGATCTCCTCTCTGATTGCTCTAACTGAGCAAATGAGTCAGGACGTGCTACGACCAATGGTAATTGCAGATGACATTGAGCTACATAGTGAGTACGATGAGAACGTGACTGAGTATCCGGAGAACTGAAGATAGAACACTGGAAGATAAGGCTATAAAGATCAGTAGACCAAAGACCCAATTTATGGATTGTAGTTTTGAGCATAGGGAAGAGGATCATAGTGAAAGTGTAAAGAATATGTGTGAAGACCTGGATAAAATGTAAAAGTACCTGGGGAAATTGATGCAGAAGATGGAGGAATATAAATTAAGCAATGGATTAACTGCAGTTGAAGTGATTGGAAGAAATACAATGGAGTGTTACGTAGTAGAAGTGTGTATTTACAAGATAGCTGTGAAACCAGCCATTTTATTTAGTGTTTAAATTGGAGCAAAATCAAAGCTAGAGGAGTAACAGCTGGATACTGGAGATGCAGATGCTGAGATGGTTGTGTGGAGTGGCAATAAATGACCAGATATGGAACAAAAACAAGTGTTCTGAGGAAAGGTCATCGGACCCGAAACGTTAACTCTGATTTTCTCTTCACAGGTGCTGCCAGACCTGCTGAGCTTTTCCAGCAACTTCTGTTTTTGTTCCTGATTTACAGCATCTGCAGTTCTTTTGGTTTTTATGATCAGATCAGGAATCAGTACGTCAGGTGAAAATAGTAAATGCAGTAAAGAAAGTAGCTGAGAAGCGATTTGAAATTTTATAGACATATATTGCAGAGAGAGAGAGAACGTATGTGGAGATGATTGGTAGAATGAGACTGCAGGAAGAATGGAAAGATGTAGTGGTGAGTTACTTACATGCAGTGAGATTGGAAAATGGATGGGTGACTGATAGGAGAAGATGAGAAGGGTGACCAACCAGTGTTATGGTGACCCCAAGTAAAATGATAAAGGCTAAAAGGGGGAAAAGGTTTTAATTTCACCTTGTTTGTTTCTTTAGCTTAAACTTGCAATCCTTGGTTCACAGATTTTGAAAGGGAACATGAGACTAACACATCAATTTTCCATTGTTTTGAACACTATATGCCCTTTCAATAGTATTTGTAATAATAACAGATGGAATTCGATGCTTTTAAATGCAAGCTTTAGGAATGTAGTCTTAACCATAAATTACTGCCTATTTTGGACCATGTATTTTGCAGTTGATCGATGTGCCTTTCAAAGAAAGTGAATGGTTTTTGTGATATTTTGGTACCATGATGGAACCATTTGTTCTTAGCATTTGTTAACTAGATTCTTGGCAGCTGCTGGAGAAAGCAAATCGAGATATTAACAAGAAAAATCTTGTTCCACTCCATTCATATCTTAAAGTATTGCTAGTGTAATGTGAGGTAACTGAAAGACAAATCTAGGAACTTTGAAGATTTCAGTTTTTCAAGAAAAAAAAATACTGCCACCAGTAAGTAAAGAACTCAGAGTCATAGAGATATACAGCATGGAAACAGACCCTTCGTCCAACTTGTCCATATCAACCAGATCCTGAATAAATCTAGTCTCATTTGTCCGCATTTGGCCCACATCCCTCTAAATGTTGTAATTGTACCAGCCTCCACCACTTTCCCTGGCAGCTAATTCTATAAATGCACCACCCTCTGCATGGGAAAAAGTTGCTTCTTGGGTCCTTTTTAAATCTTCCCCTCTCATGTTAAACCTATGCCCTATAGTTTTGGACTCCCCACCCCAGGGAAAAGACCTTGTCTGTTTACCCTATCCATGCTCCTTATGATTTTAGAAACATCTATAAGGCCACCCCTCAACCTCCGGTGCACCAGGGAATATAGACCCAGTCTGTTCAGCCTCTCCCTATTGCTCAAACCTCCAACCCTGGCAACATCATTGTAAATCTTTTCTGAACCCTTTCAAGTTTCAAAACATCCTTCCTATTGCAGGAAGACCAGAGTTTCATGCAGTATTCCAATAGTGGCATAACCGATGTACTGTACTGCTGGATCATGACCTCCCAACTCCTATACTCTGTACACTGACCAATAAAGGCAAGCATACCAAATGCCTTGTTCACTGTCCTATCGACCTGTGATTCCACTTTCAAGGAACTGTGAACCTGCACTCTAAGTCCCTTTGTTCAGCAACACTCCCCAGAACCTTACCATTAAGTGTATATGTCCTGCTGTCCATGTGGACTCGATGGGCCAAATGACCTGCTTCCACATTATGGGGATTCTATGATTCTAAAAAGTTGTAATTTTTCTTTTTCAACTTGTCATCAGCTGCTTAACAGTGGATTTTTTTTTTTTTGGTTTTGATTTGATTTATTATTGTCACATATACCTAAGTACAGTGAAAAGTTTTTTTTTGTTTTGCGTGTAGTGCAGACAAATCATATAATACAAAGTGTGTCAGGTAATAGAACAAAGAAGAATACAATGTTACAGCTGCAGAGAAGGTGCAAAAAGAGCACATCAACATTAAACTTAAAATTCTAGTATATATTCCCTGATTTCTCGTCCCTTCCTTGCCTTTCCAAATGCAGCGCTTCACATGTGTCTAAATTAAACTCCATTTGCCACTCTTCGGTCCAGTGGCCCATCTGATCAAGATCCCGTTGTACTCTCAGGTAACCTTCTTCGCTGTCCACTACACCACCAATTTTGGTGTCCTCTGCGAACTTACTAACCATATCTCCTGTGTTCACATCCAAATCATTTATATAAATGAGGAAAAGCAGCGGACCCAGCACCAATCCTTGTGGTGCACCGCTGGTCACAGGCCTCCAGTCTGAAAATCACCCCTCCACTACCTGCCTCTGTCTTCTACCTTCCAGCTGGTTTTCCCTGTATTTCATTTGATCTAGAACAAAACCAGAAGTTGCTGGAGAAGCTCCTTCTGAGAACTGAGTTCTGAAGAAGGGTCACCGGACCCGAAACGTT